TTGTCCTTGTCTGGTATCTCTGCACAAATAACCTTGTCATATGCATCAGGGTTTGTCAATTTACTTGCTGATTTCATAATTAACAGGATATGCTCATGCGGCAAACCCCTTTTTTGGAACTCCGTGACATGCACATAGGCTGCAACATCTCCAAAGTACTTTTGCTTGGTCAACAAATCCATCAATGATCGTAACTTGGCCCTATATACTCTTGCCACCAAGTCAAGTCTATCTTGTGGTTCCTGGCGAGGCTCTAGATTTTCTGTGATCTCCTGCCATTGCGGATTGCATGTCATAGTGATGAAATAATCTGGTTTGCTAAAACGCTGCACAATGGCCATTGCATTAAGGTACCGTCGCATCATGTCACGATCACCGCCCGGGAAAGAACGTGGCAACACAATTCTCTTGCCAACTTCAGAAGCCCTGGTTTCTCCATTTGAAACAACATCAACCAGACCCTACATGAACACAATTATCAATGATCGACTTTTATAATTATAATAATAAAAAAGTCATTTTTTAGTTGTAGTGTACGACATATTTTGCAAAGAAAACATTTGCCTCACCTGATATAGTTCCGCCCGTATGAGTTTCTGGTTTGCTGGGTTAGCATACCAATCAAGCCTCATAGACTCAATCTTTATATACATGTCAACAGCCCACTGTTGGAATAGTCATCCTCCAAACAACAGGATGTTAAAAAGACCCCGCCGAACTTGCATTAAGAAACAATAGTATTCTCGAGCAGTGACATATTTTCCAGATTGATTTTCCTCCATCAGGCTACCCAAGTTTTCACCTTGTTGTATGTTAGCGACATTTTCAGCATCATCTATGTAGCAAGAAAAATTATTAGGGAAACTCTATAGCACATGAGTTAGTTAGATATAAATTTCAATTAATATAAGGATTTGTCTAAACCTGTGGGGTCATGTTCTAATGTTTGCACAGAAGTTGGTGTGTCCGCCATTGTGCCACGTGGAGTAGTAGCAGGGATGATAGGTGCGTCAGTATAGGGCATAAATTTGTTCCAACTAGTCTGTCCTCTAGGATTATATAAAGGATATGACAATGGATCATAACAACCCTGGTATGGTTTAATATACATTGCCCGATCTCCTGTTGCATACACAAGAAGCACACTTCTATCAAAGCATCTCTGTGGGTCATTTCCTTCGGTCCAGATAGCAGCAACTTGTGATGTCGTCGGTGCATTGTACCTTTGTAAACATAGCGAAACACGGGTGAACATATAATCTACAAAATTATATAAGCTTAGGTAGTAACTACAACAGAAACACATGTAGTGTGGTAGAGAAGGTACCTCCTTTGGTTAGGCGTGACATTGGTGTTTAGCTCAATTACATAGTCATCAAGATTTGGTATGGCCCCAACCCTCTTGAATGTTTGAACATAAGGATTGTCCGCTGATATCCTAAGAATATTTCTTATGAGGTTGATATCTAGGTCAGGAGATCTCCGTGTCCTATGTGCTAAGGTATCATCTGTATCATAAAAATACAGTTGCATGTGGCGTGGCCCTTTGGAACCTGGCACCAAGTGGTCAAGTTGGTGGTACAAGGAACCTTGCACCCGAAATGTATAGATACCAATGCCTGCTGCAGTGGCAACACGACGATCCACACTAACCCCAAGGGTCGTGAAAGAGAAATGAGAGTTGAAGTAACGTATGTGTTTTCTGAAATACTTTGCATTAGCATCTACCTGGCTAGTAAATAACCTTTTTAAATCAGCCGTCACTTCAGGAATATGCACTTTAACCTTTCCACTTCTGCAGCAAAACCCTGGCGGTTCATATTCAAACCGTATGGCCCCTGAGTGTCTGCAATTAGGCACCTTTTTCAAAACATGGTGCTGGTCTGGTATATCATGGTAGACTTAGTCGTACGGATCATCAGCGTTAGTACCAGCAACACCATTGGCATATATACGGTATGACTCATATACGGTATTACAATATATATATTTTTTTAAAAACACAATGATTTATGGTCGACGTGAGGCGATACCTTCCCTGTGGAATTGCCTAGCTTCGTCCTCATTGCTCTGATGTTCCATGTCTTCTCGGGGATCTGTTGCATGGGCAGCACGTGGTATGTTAAAAACTAACTCTTATGCAGTCATGTTTGTGTCATTAAAAAGCAACCCACCTCCTTCGTCATCAGATTCTTGTATCTCGTTGTTTGCCGACTGGAACAAGGTAGTGTCATATTCATCTACCCGATAGATGTTTGCATGTAACGTGCGAAGAGTTGGTGTCCCATCTGTATAGTAGTTATTATAGGTTAAAGTTATATAATTAACATTAGAAATTTACATATATGAAACTATGGATTGGAAGAAAAATGAATCAAGCAACCTGTGGGCTGGGCATTGCTGCTTGGAGTATGCTGAATGGACTGATGTGCAATATTTCTCCTGTGCCTTGTATAGTCTCGCATTTTATCCAATAATTCTTGTTTTATCGATTCTTCAAGATTGTTGTACCTTTCTCTATTTCTCCGCAATTGATTGGCACTTGAACTGGATTCTGTTTAATCATTTGGTTGATATGGTGAAATATAAATAAATCATAAAAATGGAAAAAAAAACATCATTAGTAGGTACTATAAAATTCCAGTTATTGTTTCACCTGGATCCTAAACCATTTGAGCAGACGGCTCCATTGCGATATCCCCACATACTTGTTGCCTTGTTCTGATGTAGTTATCATTTCGACGCAACCATTCCGATGCATCGCATGGGGTTTGATTTTCTTTGTCCTGAACCGAGGTTGGGCCAGTAAAAATTCTGGAATTTCCCGTCTAAAATGGTGATTCCTGCACTCCTTGAATTGACGTACATGGGGTCATATTAACGTCAATAGAATTCATGTTTGGGGCAGAAAAATATCCTTCGTTAATTGGTTGCAGAACGGCTGATGTCATTGTCCCATAAGTTGGATATTGCGCTGTTGTTGAAGTAATAAGACAAGGTCAGTAAGTAATATTAATAATAAAAAGGTAGCAATCAGATGACCTGCAAAGGGCATTCTTTAGCACCTGGCTGATCTGGTGCATTTGGAGGTGCCGTTGTTTGTGCATTTCGCCGAGCATGGTACTCCCGCTGCCTCTTATTTCTCTCCTCCCTTTGCTCGCTTGTTTCTTGAGCCCTAATCCTAGCGCGGTACTCACGTTGTTTTCTATTTCTTTCCTCTCTCCTGCGTTGTTCTTTGCTGCAAGCTGTTGACATGGCCTTGTTTATTTATATACTTTTATAGATGATGGCTTATATAAAAAATATGAGTGTATGAAAATACCTGGAGTAGGTATGTTCGTTACATCGCTAAGCGCAGTGCGGCCTTCTCCTGGCGTCCCCATTTTGCCGTCAAGGGCTAGTAATAATAATATAATAGACATGTCCATTAGAACCATGATATATCTTGCCGCCAGTGGTTATTTGAATACTGACATCTGAACCGCCTAAATGCTAATCTGAACATCTAAATGCTAATCTGAACCTCTGAATTTGAAGATGAAAAATTTTCCTACTGTACTTGCTACATCTCTGAACATCTGAACCGCCTCGGCAAGTGACTGATAGTACTTCGGAAAAAAATCTGCATTTTGTAGTTTCATATATACTATGATCAAAAGTAAAGATAAAAAAATTCATGTACCCTATATGCATCTATACGTATATACGCAGTTAGGTGTATGCATGTGTTCAGATGCGATCTCAGAACAAAGACAGGAGCTGGGAATGGAACATATATACGGCGGCATGGATCCATCTCGGCGGCAACATGTTTGACGATCGAAGTATACAGGCGTACCTGATCTCCTCGCTCGCGACCACCTCACCGACCACGCGTCCTCCTCGCGTGCGCGATCGTAGCGGCCGCGGGAGACGACGATCGCGGCAGGAGCAAGACGTATGTGACGGCGCCGGTGCACCCTGATCCTCGCTCGCGACAACCTCGGTGGCCGCGCGCGCGATCACCGCCTACTCGCCTCCTCCGCCGACCGCGGCAGGAGTAGCAGCGCCTCCTCCGCCTCCGTGCGTGTCCGGGAAGTTCCGTGATTTTTGGCGGCGTGGCGTTCGTAATACTCGGTGGGGGCTGCATGACGTGGGTGTGGGGGAGAATGAGGAGATTTGATACACTCAATCCATGCCCTCGATTGTGTAATGAGTAAGGAGAGAGAAGGCTTAGAGGGCATCTGGACGGTTCGTTTGAAATGTGTTGTTTTCCTGGGTATACTTTTTGGGGTGGACTTTGAGGAGACATCTCAGCGGGGGGTCGTTTTTTTGTGTGGACGTAGGAAAGAAAAGATGGTGCATTAGTAGGGTAGATAAAAAAATGTTAAAAGAAGACAGAAGGTTGTGTCATGTCCACACGGAGCCCAGGAGCCCCAGAAGCAATTTTGGTCTGGGCCTTGGGAGGAGAGCACGCACGTGTGGGCCGTGAACCAGACGGAGACGCAGATCACGTCACATCTCGCCCACTGGGCCACTCCCAGGCCGGCAAATACTGTCCTCGAGGGATATATATATAAGGTCATATAAGGATCGACGTCACGTGTCAGTGCGGTGCCGAAGACAGCTACCACTCCAACTGAGATGACATCATGGTCGACCTCACGTGTCACGGGCTCACGGCCATCAACCGGTCGCCGTCGTGTCACGACCAGAAATCCTGTGCGGTGCCAACGAGTCAAACAGACGACACTCCAGACGTTGGACGCGGCTCTTGAGATCTCCTTCGTCCAACTTGGAGTTTCGAAGCGCTTGATACCGCTATGTGTCTTTCGCGCGCGTCGCGCTGCCGGCCGCCGGCCGCCGGCCGCCGTCTCCGTCGCCGTGCACACGACACGCGATCCGCCTCGCGGTAATCAGTGCCAGTGCACACTGACCGACCAGGCAGCCGAGCGGCTAAATAGCGCTAGACGGACGAGATGCGTACGCCCTCCTCGATATCACTAGCTATAGTCACAGACATGGCAGGTTCTTCTTCTACCTCGTGCTCTCTGCTGCTGGTGGTTGCGGCGGCGATGCTGATGTCGTTGCTCTACGCCGCCAACGCCGGCTCGTCGCGCCAACTGACTGCCGGTTTTAGCCGTGTCATGCTGAACGAGTCACAGTTCGTGGTGCAGAAGCCTTACGACCTGCCGCTCAACGAGCGGTACGACCCGTGCGGCGGCGTCCGGCGCTTCTGGGTCTTCGCCACCGACAAGCCCATCAGCGCCACCCGTCCTGGCTACCCGCGCACTGAGATCAAAGTCGACGTACGTCGCCTCTCCACGGCAAGACTAGCTAGCTTCTCGACCATTCCAGGTCCTTTTCCCTGTACTAACTCTGCACGTGTTGATCATCATCAGAAGGTGTACAGCTCCGGGGTGTGGCAGTTCGAGGGCGACGTGTACGTGCCGTGGGGCACGTCGGGTGCGTCGGTGATGCAGATCTTCGGCGCGGCGCCGCCGCACGCGTCGACGGTGATGCTGCCCGTCTACGACGGCCAGCTTACCTACTACCACAACCTGACCAGGGTGGTTGCAGACCGCGTGTACGACCGGTGGATCCGTCTCAACGTGGTGCATGACGTCGCCGCCGGGAACGTCACCGTGTACGTCGACGGCGAGAGGAGGCTGGAAGTCCCGGGCCACGGCGGGACGGAGCACTACTTCAAGTTCGGCGTGTACACGCAGGGGCTTCACAACCATTCGCACCGCATGGAGGCGCACTGGAAGAACGTCGCCATCTACACCAAGCCGTATGCGTGACGGTGACACGCGATCGATGGAAACATGGATCGTCCGATGTGTGAACTGTGATGATGGAGGACGTCTCTCTCAAATGTGTCTCTAGCTAGTGAATAAGTAGCTGAGTAGTGAATAAGAGAAATGTGTCTCATATTTACAACTACAAGCTACACAAAGTTGTAACTGAGTAGTAACTTACTGTATGTTGTAACCAAGTCCTTTATTTGGTTGCAGTTGTGTTTACGAGAGACAGTATAACTATTTCTTTTTTAAAAAAGTTAATTGATAACTATAAACTGCACTAAATTGTAATTTAGTATATCTATACCTAATAATAAAGAGGTGTCGGCACGAAAACGTGTCTCGTGCCGGGCACACGAGCAAGCCGGAAGGGTCTGCTCGATGGAGCTGGAGATCCACCTGGCTTCAACGCAGGGGTCGCCGATCCTGCGTACTCCTCCCGAGACGTGCCAGTCAATTTGACCCTGCAATTGACAAGTAGATAAAATTTATCAATAATTTAAGGCAGAACATGCTGGTCTGTGCCCAGACAGTTGCAAGTGTGCCGCTTTGGGAGCAGCCATACGGAAAAAGCGACTAAATAGCTGATCCGCACATAAATCGGCTGTTACGGGCTGTAAAGCTCGTGGGTAGCGATTGATTTTAAGTTGACAGATACAGTACACGTATATGTAAGTAAGAACATCAGCTAGGTAGATATTACCAGTGTAAAGCAATTATGCCGATGAATCTAATCAGAAAAAGATATAGAACACGAACGAATCAACTATCTGATACGAACAGATCTACAAACGCTCTGAATCTAATCTGTTACCACCAATAGTGAGGTTCGACCGGATTAATGGCAGCTATGATGATAATAACAAACTAAAACCGAAGAATCTGTAAAGACATCCGTACTTCGACAACCTTTCCGAAAGACATGCTATACGTGAAGGCTCGGATGAATCGGTTAAAATAGCCGATTCAGGTAAAGAGAACTACAGCGTGTGAACAATCGATTATTTCGCGCAGACAGACCTAAGGACTTCTCAGACCTAACCCGCTATCTCTAATAATGGGGTTCGACCGGATCGATGCAGCCATGAAAAAGACAACAAATCAAACCCTTGAAATACATAGATCTATTCACGCTTAACAGAATCATGTAAACACACTGCAGGGGTTAAAGCATAGGCGATCGATTATTTAGCCGACGCAGGCATAGCAAACAGCTAAGGTCACGCCTAATCAGAAACAGATCTACTAACTAGCGTCCTTTAATCTAAAGTGCTATCAGTGGGGATCAAAGTGCTATCAGTGGGGATCGACCGGATCGTTACAGCCATAATAGTGAACCGTAGATTAGACTTAACTAGCCAGCAAACCTCTTCAAGATCACTCGTGCCTTAACCACGTACTATGCGCGATCAACATCGAAGCAGAACAGCCGATAAAACATAACCCGTCGCTCAAGGTAAATAATATCATGTTGTAACAAAGCAAACGACGGACCCAAAGGATATCATGCCGATCTAGATCGATCTCGACCAGGCAGATTGATGTTGCTGTAAACTAATGACAATGAAAACATCAGCAAGATCGGTAACTTAATGAATCTACCCAAAGTTTGCCACTCCTAGGTAGAGCCGATAACTTGACCTTAATCTTGTTCGAGCAGTGGAGGTCGACCGGATCGATACAGCCGTACTTAAACTAGAAAAGAGTCGATAACTAGCTTATACCAGAGTCGCAGTGGAGGTCGACCAGATCGATGCTGCCGTACGAACAGAAGTATAAGCTATGACAGTACTTACAGACGAACCGGAGGTCGGCCGGACCGATGCACCCCTGCTCGCTAAAGAACTCGCCGAGATCTACTTTACTCCTACTCCTAAGGGGTGGCCGGAGCCAAAAAAAAAAGTAAATGACTTGTATTTGATTGATCGTGTCCTTTACAATAGCCGGGGTCCAATATTTATACCCAGAGCCTAAACACGAATCCTACTTGAGTACGGCTCATTACCTTCTTTGGCATAAAAGAAAATATTCCTATCTTATGATAACTTGGACTCTAATCTTTTCCTTTTTGTAGAGTTCGATATGTAGTTTCCCGATGCCAACTGTAGCTCATCATCGTTATCTGCTGACGTCATTCAAAGAGAGCCGATTCTAGTGTCACATGTAAATCAGCTGATATCGATCCTTATGCAATCGATTCCTTGATCGACACAATCTTGGAAGCCTTTGAGTTTCTGCGTTCTTCTCCAAAATTTTGGTGTAAACACATGCCCCCAATTTTGGGATAAAAGTGATTTTATTTCAAAATTCCTATTTATCCGTTTACCACGCTGCAACCGTTCTATTCCGAGATATACGCATGACTCCTGACTTCTCGGCCCGAGTTTTGTATAATATCCCAATAGTATCTCTTCCAACTTACTCGGACTATTTGCTTTCCCTTTCTTCCTCGAGCAAGTCTCAACAGCTGACGCCGTCATCTCCAAGGCCTCAAACCCTAGCAAATCCCCTGTTCCATCAAGCCAATATTCAAGCGATCTTCGTCAGATCTAAATCTATTTCGGCTGTAATAGTGACCAGCGACCACGTCCCTGAGGTATGCTTCCAAGTTTCCATTCTCCAAGTACCGGCCGCTACCCTGTATATCTTTTCCTCTCAAATTTATTCCATCCGATTTCTAGGAAATGAGGAATGAAATCTTGATTCCATCAGCTATTGCTTCCAATGTCTATTTTCTTGGGCCTATGGGTGACCTAGATCCATCTGATTTTATCCGTTAAGAAACCAACGAAATCCCCTTCAAACAGTCTGTAGTGGATTTGTCCTCTTGGAACACCAAAACTCCCTTCAGAAATTGGCCAAAAATGCCTAAGGGATGGAGAAATTGGTTTCATAGGGTGTCTGAGAAAACGGGTGGAGATTGGAAGCTTTATGTTTTGAATCAATGCTTGATACTCTCATTATCTGGGATAGAGAGGAATGATTCACTCCTGATTTCCGCATCTTATTTCTAGTCTAATACCCTGAATGCTTTTGTATTTGGTCACGGTCCAATAACCATCACTCTGGCCGATGTTTACATGTTGACCGGCCTTAGAATCACTGGATCAATGCAGCCTTATGAGTACTTGAGTGCTGGCTCCAAGAAATTAGCCAAAATATCAGACTGCATAGGATGGGCCAGTTACATTTTGAACCACATTGGAGATGGATCAACTGTCAGCGAAAGAGAATATATGGCCTTTCTGAACATGTGGTTGGAGAGATTCATCTTCTGTGAGTCATCTTGTGGTCCGACTTACAATCACAAACTCATGGCAGAGCATCTGGCAGTAGGCAAGGGTATCCCTCTTGGAAAGTATCTGCTAGGAGCTGCTTATCATCTGATGCACCAGGTAGCTGCCCAATTATTGAAGAATAAACCAGTGCATACTATCAGTGGCCCATGGTGGTTGATACAACTGTGGCTCAATTTGTATATGCACAATATTATAAGGCCTGATCTCAGAAACCTGAGCTTTACTTCCTCTAATTTTGATGAGGAATATAAGGGCGAAGAAGAAAGAAACCGCCAGTGCACGAGCTACGGTGAAGCTGCATCGGCCATAATAATTGATGTCGATGTTGGCCATGTATTCAAAAAGTTTTACAGAGGGTTTGATGCAGACGTCATGACTTGGCTACCTTATGATGAGGATGAGAACAATGAACTGATCTTCCCATTCAAATTTTGATTTGAATCTGGCTGTTCGGACGAGACAGCGGCTGCGATCTTTAATTCCTTTATCAAGCCCTATGTTCTTCCAGCCGAATTTCATCATGGTCGTGGCAAAATAGTTACAGGCTCCTTCATTCTAGGCAACCTTCCAACTTATGAGTTTTACGACCCTTTGTTTGTAGCTCATCAGTTTGGTCTCGGCCAATTGCCCCCCAACTTTTCTTCAAGGATATACTGAGGCCAAGAGAAGATATCAGTGAAGTATTGGAAGCATCCAGAGTTTTTCAACTGGGATCAAATCTCCCTTCCCTTTGCTTGCATGACTGGATCAAAGTCAGCTTCTCTTCCACTCTCTTCGACTCCTGGTGACAAGAATGGCACTCCCATCTTTTCTGTGGCTTGATTGGTCCACCCTTTGTGTATAGCTCTGGATGGGGAATTTGCTTCTGATAGTGAGGTAACTTTTTATCCCCTTTTTAGAGAAATTACTTGGTGAATTCTGCTGCCAACCGTTCTAACCGACCCTTTCAGGACATTGAATTCGATCCTCCAAGCCTAGATAGGAAAGGGCATCCTATAGACTATCAGCCGCCATGTCTAGTTTCAAGAATAGGATCAACCACATCTCCATTGAAGAAATTGATGAAAACTCCTACTGCCCCCACGATTGTGACATACCAATCTTCAAAGCACAAGGTGGTCCAAGGGGGAACCCAGAAAGCTGTTACTAGGAAAAGACTCCGCAGAACAAGACCATCAGCTGCTTAGGTAAACAATCCATCTCCTTATCAAACTGATATTCAACTTCTAATCCTGTTCTTCGTAGTTATCAAACATTGCGTCCCAACCTGCCCTGGGTGCGAAGCTGTTGTCTCAGGCGTTTCATTTAGCACCAATTGAACCTTCATCGGCTGATCCTCAAAAGGAGCCGATGTCGGTCGAAATAATCGATGCTTCCACAACGGCAGAAAATGTGAGTTTTTCCATTTTATCCTTGTTGCTTATCGGATTATTTTCTCAAAAATTATTGATTCTGTTCAATTTTCATCCTTTATCTGATTTCTCACTATGTTAGATACTTCCTAGGGAAACACCTATGGAAGAGCAGGAGCTTGATAGTCCACTTAATGATCCTATCGGCATTGAAGGTAATCCTGTTGCCATCGACACTCAGACTGTCGATTCCCAGTTCAACATACAACTGATGGTAAGGAAGTTATATGTCCCTTTTATCCTTCTACAATAATCATGAACTAAAACTTTTCTTTGATATTGCAGATAC